ATTCTCAGAAGAGTTTCTACTCTTCTATTAAATCTATTATCAGATTCTTCTCATAGTGAGAGAGAAGCTCAGCTATCTTTGCTAAGCTGAATATCTCTATAAGATCTCAGTATTTCTCTGATATCTGAAGCTCAGTTTTCATGACTGTGAGATTCTCAGACACTCATAAGATTATTATATAGATGAGCTTATCTTCTCTAATTAACTTTGTAGTATTAACTGATTCTATCTTCATAAGTGAGTCTGTCAACACTGATTAGAAGTATAAACCTGACTCACAGACAGCTATGTGTGAATTATGTCTTTAAAGTTATACAAGTCTTAAGTACATATCATCTGTGATATCTGTGATAATTATAGTTTCTATAAATCTTCTTCAAATTTCAGAGAGATCTTGTAATTTAAAGATAACTCTTATAAATCTCTCAGCTCTCAGATCTGAGTTCTCATATTCTGCTTATTATAAGAGCAGATTTTCAGTTTTCATCTTTCAGCTCATTCACTTTATAAGCTTTAGAGACACTACAGTGATCTGAGATTCTGAGTTCACTAATACTTTTCATACTTACAGAGTAGCAGTACTGCAGTACAGTCTCTCTCTGTAAGTAAGTATTTTTATTAAGAGAGTAATAGATTCAGATATCAGCTTTAAGACTCTTAAGAAGACTGTTGCTGACTCTGTCTACAACTTCTTAAATTTCTATTTTAGTTTGTTCAGACAGTTTATACAGAGATGTTCTAATTTAGAATAGATAAAGCAGAGTTTCTTTTTCTTAATCTCTCTATTATACACTCTGTTCACAGAAGCTTATAAAGCTCTCTCTCTCTACTCAGCAGTCAGATATGAATTTCTCTATATCTTATTATCTTTTTCTAATAAATCTGTTCTCTATTATTTTAGCTCTTGCAGAGTTGATTAATAATCTGCTCTCTATAAGTCTATGACTCTTACAGTGATCTGTAAGTGATGAATGAGAGTTATTAGTTTCTTCAGAGTCAAGAACTTAGAGTCTTACTCAATGAGCTTATTCTATATATCTTTATTCAGTCTCTTTATAAATATTATTATTCAGGTCTTATTTCAGAGCTCTGTTTTCACAGATCTTAATTTATATCATAATTTTATAAAGTACTGTGAGTAGTCTTTATCAGATTTCTCATCTCTTTTTCTAATATTATTAATTACAGCTCAGATGTTCTCTGTTCAGCTTACAGAGTCTCTCAACTTATTCTCTAAATAGATCTTAAGAATAGATCAGTGAGATCTCTCATAATTATTCTTTAAATAATTCAGTCAGTTCTTAGCTTCAGTGTAATAGAGATCTGTTATTATATAGATAACAGCTTCTTCATCTTTTATATCACACAGCTGAGCTTGTGAGTCAATTTCAAATATAAACTTATAAAAGTTTTTATAGATTGTGATTTAATAAGTAATCTTAAGTAATTACAGCTTAAGAAAGTTTCTTTTCAGTTTGTAAGTGTCTCTGAAGATCATGTTTAGAGACTCAGTTCAAGAGTGTTTACAGATAGTAAGCATTTCTTATAGAAAAATAGCTTGATTTTATAAGAGATGCTCAAGAATGTTCTTCATTGAGATTGATTTATTTAAGAATTCAGAGAGTTTCTCTGTCACAGATATAGAAAATAACATTCTATAAGTAATTAATAAGTTCTCTGAGACTTCTTTTATAAGAGTTATTCATAATTCAGATAACTGCTTCTGAGTGTCTGTAGTAGAGTTTGCAGAGATTGAAGTATATAAGTTTCTAGTTCTTTCAGTTATAACAGACAGTTACTGACTGACTGAGCTTGAAATGTAAGAATAAGTGCTTACAGGTGATTATTCAGATATTTACAGCTTGATATAATATATACTGTTAACTACTAGAAGTATTCACAGTAGAAAGATAAAATGTAGAGATTAAATGTATAATAGCATTTAAGCTGAGTTATGAATAGTATTTATAAACTTCAGTCTATATAGTTGTGTGTAGTCAAGAGCTGCTAGCCCTATTAATTATATGAGAGATAGAAATAGAGGTAAAGAATTCGCAAGAAGCGGGATTTCTTACAAAAAGTTCTGTAAGTTCTAGAACTGAGTAATTCAGTTTATTATTAAAAAGAAGTTATTATAAGAAGATTATTAAAGAGAGTTACTAAGAGAAAGTACTGTACTCTGTAATAATTAATCTGAGAGAGAGTGTTAAAAATTCTGTAGTTAATTAACTCTTCTATTAGTAGATACTGATAATAATTAAGCTCTTTTATCTCAGTAGTTTACAGATTATAAGACTGTTAAGTATAAGTTCTACTATAATTAACATATATAAGTTTAATCTTAGAATGAACTTAAAAATTTCTAATAAATACTCTGTATATTTTAACAGTATTAAGAGATATCTTAGAAGTATACTCTAGAAGTTCTATGAGTTCTAAAACTAAGTAATTCAGTTCATTATTAAAAAGAAATTATTATAAGAAGATTACTGAAGAGAGTTACTAAGAGAAAGTACTATACTCTGTAATAGTTAATCTGAGAGAGAGTGTTAAGAGTTCTATAGTTAATCAGCTCTTCTATCAGTAGACACTGATAATAATTAAGCTCTTTTATCTCAGTAGTCTACAGATTATAAGACTGTTAAGTGTGAGTTCTGCTGTGATCAATATATATATAAATTTAATCTCAGAATGAACTTAAAAATTTCTAATAAATACTCTGAATATTTTAATAGTGTTAAGAGATATTTCAGAAGTATACTCTAGAAGTTCTATGAGTTCTAGAACTGAGTAATTCAGTTCATTATTAAAAAGAAGCCATTGTGGGGAGATCACTGAAGAGAGTCACTGAGAGGAAGTACTATACTCTGTGATAGCTGGTCTGAGGGGGGGTGTTGGGGGTCCCATGGTTGGTCGGCCCTTCTACCAGCAGGCGCTGGTGGTGATTGAGCTCTTTTGCCCCAGTAGCCTACAGTATAGGGCGAAGATGACAATATCCAAATCTATGGATATAACCAGCATCAGCGGCCAAAGAAAAATAGAGCTAGCTGCCTGCAAATCTTTGCAAAATCCATTCCATTTAATTGGGTTAAGTTTGAAGCAAGCAGCAAGCAAGTGAACGCGAGGACTTCGAATGTTGGATATCTTGGCTGTGTATGACCAGGTGGGGGAGGATTGTTTTCCAATAGTTGGTGCCGCCAAAGACCTTGTAACTACTCCGTACATCCGTAGCTGCTGTTTAGATCGGAGTAGCTGGCTCGGGGTATGTGGATTTTGATAAGAATGCCTTGTTGGATACGGGCCTTGGGGATATAAGAAATCAATGTATGTACATACATGTACATGTACGGAGTACGGAGAACATGTACTTGTACATTAACCAGCGCAGCTCACCGCCTGGAAGCCCAACAAGCTATCAAAGGAAAACATGCGAGCCAAAACCATAGCCGCAAATTGTTCCCCTTTCTTTCAAATCTATGGAATGAAAATGACACAACCATGATGAGAGAAATTGAGAAAATCAGGGTTGTTGTGTTGAAGGTTGTTCCAGAATATTCCCAGGATGTCTGTCTGTCATCATGATAAAAAAAAAAAAGTTTTCAATCAAGGCGGTGGTTGAAAGCTGCCAGGGTTCTGGGCTTCTATTCGTGGGTGGCGGCTGGGGCGGCGACCAACCAAGCAGTAGCTGGTTACGTAGTAAGTAGTTAAGTTAGTCTTTGCCGTTTTAGACGAAATTGAAGCCACCTGACAAATCCGGCTGTTTGATTGGACGAAACTTCATCCATCTTCTTGGAAGAGGAGCCACAGACAGACAGACAAGACAGTTGACGTTTCAAACGTAATAATAATTTTTTAAAAATATTAAATCAGATGTTACAGCGTATGTCCGTTCCTGCGCAGGCGCCCCCCACCGCACCGCTCCAACGAAGTCTGGCTTCTGAAACCAACCTCGCATTGTGAAGTCATCGATACCTGCCCTGCCTTGCGGCTTCTCTACCCTAGTTAGTTAGCTAGCACCCAAACAGGCTTTTGCGACTTTCTTTCATTTTTTCATTTTTTCATTTTTATTTTATTTTGCCATGACGTACGTGCAACTGCATTTAGTTAGTAGAGTGGTAGGTTCAAAAAGTCAACGATTGCTGAAACCCCCAGGCCTGGATATTTCTCCCGGACAAGGAAAGGGCTGTCCCGCCTAGGACTGGCCTCGTTTCTTGGGCAGCACCATTTTCTCCGGCCAATTATTAAATGACTTAACTAACTACGGAGTACGGACTAACAGTGAGGCAGTGCAGAGTCAAACCTGGCTAGGCTTGTTCCGCTGATTTGCTAGCCGGATCGGATCGGTGGTGGTGGTTGGGTTGCTTGCTTGCTTGCTTGCTTAACTTTGACCCTGGCCAACAACCGCCCAAACCAAGGTTCAACCCATGCTGCGCCTTCTTCCATTATTTATATGATTATTCTTCTTCTTCTTCTCAAACCTTGCAACACCCACCAAAAGCACAAAACAACCTATGATATGATTTCCTCGCGGATGGCAAAGATCCTTTGATATGGAAGAATTACTTATTATTACTACTCCCTACAGCGTAATAATAGGGATCGTCAGACCGAGAATATAAAACCATGCAGGTTTTTGCTCCGTACTGTAGAATGATAGATAACATAACGCAAATGAGAAATTCCGGATGCGCGAAGTGCAATTAGGGCGTATTTAAATGCATGCGACCAACCTGCTGGTCATTGTACAGAGTAACTAGTAGTACCTCCGTACTTGTAGAGCTAAAGACTGACTGACACGTCTGACGGTCGCCAACTATCAGCTTCCCAAGGACCAAGGTCTCTCGTCTCAGGATATGTCTGTGGTGTGGTGGAAGAAGCCGCACGCGTAGAAGTTGACGGAGCCATTGAACTTGGCAATTCGCCGTAGATCGTCCCAAGGGGCCAGAGAATGAATAATAATAATAATGAATGCGCTGTTCTGTTGTGTAAAAGCGGGTTTTTTTTTTTTTTTTTTTTTTTTTTTGCCCCAGCCAGTCCTCTCGTTGAACTGAAGCCTCCTCCTCCTGGCCTGGTCTTCTTCCCCCAAACTTCCTCACCTCACCTCACTTCAACGTCCGGCCCATTCTTCCTCCGGCTTCAATTTGAAGCTCCATTTCTTCTTCCCTCGCTGTGCACGCGCTGCTCTCTTGCTTTCCGGCCGGTTCCCTGACCTATCTATCTATCTTCGATTCGATTAGCACCGCTTGATGGCCAGATATTCAACACTGCTTTCTTCCAACCTATTGGCTTCCACCGCATTGATAGCTTGTGGACGACCGCCTTGAGTACTCTCCTCCCCCCCCCCCCCCCAAAGGCGGACTTGGGCCTATCGATAGGCAATTTCCTGTAGGTCATTGAATTATGACATTATATCCTGACGTTTATCCATTTTTGGTTCTCCTGTTCTTCTTGATATTGAGCCAATTCCCGTTGCAAAACTCGCTCCCCGCAATAAATGAGAGAGCTCCGCTGCGCGCTCCTTTACCCCATCCCATCTCCCCAGCCCTTATCAATTGCAAATGCTAACCATAATTCCTTTTTGCTAGCGGAAACTGTTTTCGAAGTTCTTTGCCGCCTGTGTATCTGTTGGGGTTTTTTTTTTTTTTTTTTTTTTTTTTTTTCACGCGTTGGACTTTGCTCGAGCTCCATTCAACTTGACCATGCTACACTCGTGGTGATCTAATCAACATTTTCATGGCTGGATGTCCGTGACCTTTTCTACGAGACCTTTTTACGCCAAACTCTTCACTCTGTCACAAAGTTTCACATCGCAATCATGTCACAACCACCACGGGACGATGACTCCCTTCCTCCTGCGGGCCCTCCTCTACGGCGCGAGCGTGCACCTACCATTACAATAGATACGTCCGCTGTGAGCGCAGGCGGCGAGCTATCCCAACCCCAAGATCCCCTAGATGGAACACAACCCACCCCGCGGATTCCACCCGAAGATTCAGATGCAGGCTCCAGACGCTCCGGCGAACCCCCATCCCCTACTGAGCTGCGCTCTGTTCAGTCCTTTGAGGGAAGGGATAAGGGAAGCCGCCCAACCTCGCCCCATAACGTTTCATCACCGACTACAAAATGGCCCGAAAGCCAATCCCAGAACTTCTTAGCCGTTCCTGGAACTCGATCGCGGGTAAACTCTGTGGATTCCGAGGAGGCAGGCAATTCTCCTGGTTCTGTTGAGAGTGACACCTATGTTGCGTCCGCGCCTTCAGGTCAAGATCGCCGGTCACGAGATGTTGACCGTGATGTACACGACATTATAAGTGACCCAGATGCGCTGAAGCCGGATCCTGGCACGGAGGATGATTTTGTGGTCAAAGATAATAAATTCGCATTTACCCCGGGTCATTTGAACAAAATGCTGAATCCCAAAAGTCTATCCGCCTTCTACGCTCTCGGTGGACTCGCAGGGCTTGAAAAGGGACTACGATCAAATTGCCAGACAGGTCTCAGTCTCGATGAAACAACTTGGGAAGGGACGGTTAGCTTTGAGGAGGCGACAAAGCAGAGGAGTCGGGTTACCGTGCTGGATATGAAGATGCCCCCCCGCGTGATGAGCATGAAAGCGGACACCCATCACCACCATGCCAAGGAGCGCCAATTTATCGACCGGAAACGTGTCTTCAGCGATAATCGACTGCCAGCAAAGAAGGCTAAATCTATATGGGAACTCGCCTGGATCGCCTACAACGACAAAGTACTGATACTACTCTCGGTGGCGGCCGCTATATCTCTTGCCCTCGGAATATACCAGTCCATCACAGCCGCAGAGGGCGAACCCAGGATACAGTGGGTGGAAGGAGTGGCTATCATCGTTGCTATTGTTGTTGTGGTTGCTGTCGGTGCTGCCAATGACTGGCAGAAGGAACGGCAGTTTGTGAAGCTCAACAAGAAAAAGGAGGACCGGTCAGTCAAGGTTATACGGTCTGGAAAATCCGTGGAAATATCTGTTTATGATATTCTGGCTGGGGATGTGATGCACCTAGAACCAGGTGACATGGTTCCCGTTGATGGCGTGTTTATTCAAGGGCACAACGTGAAATGTGATGAATCCTCCGCTACCGGCGAATCTGATCTGTTGCGGAAAGTCTCCGGGGCGGATGCATATCGAGCCATTGAAAACCATGAAAGCCTTGCAAAAATAGACCCGTTTATCTTGTCAGGAGCTAAAGTTTCTGAGGGTGTTGGCACGTTCCTTGTCACTTCCACCGGTGTTAATTCCAGCTACGGGAAAACTATGATGTCGCTCCAAGATGAGGGAGAGACAACGCCTTTACAGACGAAGCTTAACATTCTCGCTACATACATTGCGAAACTCGGTCTTGCAGCGGGTCTATTGCTCTTCGTGGTCTTGTTCATCAAATTTTTAGCGAGTTTGCAAAGTATTGCGGGCCCTACTGCCAGAGGGCAAAATTTCCTTCAGATCTTCATCGTCGCCGTTACCATCATTGTTGTTGCAGTCCCAGAAGGATTACCGCTCGCTGTAACACTAGCACTGTCGTTCGCCACAAGCAGGATGTTAAAGGACAACAACTTGGTGCGTCTATTAAGAGCTTGCGAGACCATGGGTAATGCGACCACAATTTGCTCGGATAAGACGGGTACACTGACCCAGAATAAAATGACTGTTATCGCCGGCACAATTGGAACCGCTTCTCGATTTGGCGACAAAGCTAGCCAGGGAATCTCTGGCCAAAATGGCAGTAATCAAAATTCTCCTGCTGCAGAGGTAAACGACGTCACCCCGACGGAATGCATCGCCACATTATCATCTTCGGTGAAGGATCTTTTAAAACAATCCATTGTGCTAAACTCAACGGCTTTCGAGGGTGATGAAGATGGCGTTACAACATTTATCGGGTCGAAAACCGAAACAGCACTCCTCAGCTTTGCTCGAGATTATCTTGCCTTGGGTTCGCTTAGCGAAGAAAGATCTAATGCAACAATCGTTCAACTTATACCGTTCGATTCTGGTCGAAAATGCATGGGTGTCGTCATGAAGCTGCCAAATGGGAAATTCAGGATGTTTGTTAAGGGCGCTTCCGAGATTCTCATTGCTAAATGCGCAAAAATCGTTCTCGATCCTGCTGGTGATTTAGCAGAAACGCCCCTTACGAACATCAACAGAACTACTCTTGAGGATATTGTAGAGAGTTACGCATCAAGGTCGCTACGCACAATTGGTATGGTCTACCGAGATTATGATCAGTGGCCCCCTCGCGGCTCCCCTACACAAGAGGACGATCGCAGCATGGCTGTTTTCGAACCAATTTTCAAAGATATGGTCTTCCTAGGTGTAGTGGGTATTCAAGATCCTCTACGCCCGGGTGTTACGGAGTCTGTCATTCAGTGTCAAAAGGCTGGAGTGTTTGTTAGGATGGTTACCGGCGATAATTTAACAACAGCTAAAGCTATAGCTCAAGAGTGTGGCATCTTTACGGCCGGCGGAGTTGCAATGGAGGGCCCGAGATTCCGGAAACTTAGTTCCCAGCAAATGAGCCAGCTCATCCCAAGATTGCAAGTCCTCGCACGATCTAGCCCAGAAGATAAAAAGATATTGGTTTCTCAACTGAAAAAGCTAGGGGAGACCGTTGCTGTCACTGGCGATGGTACTAACGATGCTCCAGCCCTGAAAGCAGCCGATGTTGGTTTCTCCATGGGTATTGCTGGCACCGAAGTTGCCAAGGAGGCTTCGGCTATTATTCTCATGGACGACAATTTCACATCTATTGTGAAGGCCATATCTTGGGGAAGAACCGTTAATGATGCTGTGAAGAAATTTTTACAGGTAAACATTTCTTTCCTGTTCTTTCAAAACCTACCTAGTTGGTCTTTCTAATGTTTGGTTTCCCTTAGTTTCAAATCACGGTCAACATCACTGCTGTTATCGTCACCTTCGTGTCGGCCGTAGCCGATGAGGATGAGGAATCGGTACTTACAGCTGTTCAGCTGCTATGGGTCAATCTCATCATGGACTCATTCGCTGCCTTGGCTCTAGGTAACCCACCTGCATGATTTACGATTGCAAAGATGATGAAACTTCATCGCTAACTCTTACTTCAGCAACCGATCCCCCAACCGAAACCATTCTAGACCGGAAGCCTGAACCCAAATCTGCCCCATTAATCACGTTGACCATGTGGAAAATGATAATAGGACAATCGATCTACCAGCTTGTCGTCATATTCATTCTCAATTTCGCAGGAGAAAATATTCTTAACTACGACTTCAATGGGGGTAATCGGGAAAATGAAAGGGCCCGCTTTAAAGCCCTTATTTTCAACACCTTCGTTTTTATGCAGATTTTCAATCAATACAAGTAAGGATGCCGCCACAGCAACGCTTCGAGCTAATATGGGATGCTAATACTATTCTGATCCGTTTTATAGTTCCCGACGTATTGACAATGGCTTCAATATATTCGAAGGATTACTCCGCAATCGATGGTTCATCGGCATCCAGTTTATTATCGTCGCCGGTCAGGTCCTTATCATCTTCGTTGGTGGTGAAGCGTTTCATACGAAACCTCTAAATGGTGTCGAGTGGGGCGTATCTATCATCCTAGGCCTCTTGTCCATGCCGATGGCTGTGATTATTCGGTTGATACCAGACGAGTTCATTCAAAAATTAATCCCTGAAGTCTGGACTCGCAAGAAGACGGGTCCACAAGTTTTCGTCTCCGACGAGGATCGCTTCGAGTGGAACCCTGCTCTACAGGAAATCAAAGATCAGCTGGCATTCCTCAAGACTGTCCGTGGTGGACGCCTCAATCACTTGAAGCACAAACTGAAACATCCGGAGATTTTGATCCCAAGATCCAGGAGTGGCTCGAGATCCCGAGATAGCTCTATCCCACAGACACCTGTCGACGGCGCGCAAGACGTTACATCGCCGCCCCCAGGAACTCCGGAATCACGCTCTCGCAACAGCCGGTCACGATCCAACTCAAATTTGAGACCGGCAGCGGTGATGGCAGGCGTAGTTGCTGGTAGTATTGGAGGTTGGTCGCCTGTGGGACGAGGCGTAGGAGAAGCAGATTCGCTCAAGTTTTCACGGTCCAGTCGACACTCGGGTCTCGGAGACCAGAAGGGAATTGAAGTCCATCCCGATACACGAGACGACGACCCCGTCGTCAGCGACTACCCATACTCCACTCACGTTCCTCCAAGCCAGAATCCAGACTTGGCACCAGATTTCCCGCATGGCCCTTCCCACTCGGGCCCTCCAAGTCACGGTCGACGATCCACTTCTAGGCAATCGAGGCAGTCGTCTAACAATAACACCAATAACAGGCCCCCAAGCCCAGCGGCTCCGCCGTCCTAAATATTTCCTTAACTAAGTTTCTACATGCGAACAAATTTGGGTGGTAATAAGGGTGATTTTCGCTAATCTTTGCTGCAGAACTTGTCCTGCTCCTTTGTCCTTTACGTTTTGCCGCGGTCCGTTGCTGCGGGCAAACGTTTCTTTTAATTAATTCTAGGTCGAACCTAGAGTCTTATTCCATTCCGCACTCCCACCTGAAATGCGACTTTTTGTTTGAGTCAGATATGTTCAATACTGAGTAGAATGCGCGTTTGGGTCTATCAAAAATACTTTTGTACTAAAATGAAAAAAAAAAGGAAAAAAAGGGAAAAAAAAGGGAAAAAAGCGCAGTACAACATTTGCATAAGCTTGGCGTGTGGTTGGGGCCTGTTTTATTTTCTTCTATTTTTTCCTTTCCTCTTGACTGACTTGTTTCCCTTTCCTTTCCTCCTACCTTTCTTCCGACGGAGGCCACTTTTTTTCCATTTTTCTTTCTCTATCTCAGCTACCCCGGCTATCGTTTTACTTATTTTATATGTTACATTTATCATGCCGCTGTCCCGGCCCAGGCCTTCGTTAGATTATCTTTTACTCTGCTCACTTCCCATTCTCATTTCTCCAGTTTACTTTTTTTGCCTCGCCATCTCGTCGTGGGCATTTCATCTACACACTTCACTTTTGTTTCTGAATGCTTTCATTTTGTTTTTCATGGCCTCCCCTTGATTGCATCCGCCCACTTCCCTATTTTCTTCCTCTTTTCCTGCCAATTATTTCTTTATAATAGTAAAGATCTATTCTCCTCGTTTTCTATTTTCGATTACTGATATTTTCTTCTCTCTTCTCTTGACTTCTATTTGCTTGCCCCTTGGCCAATTTCGCAGAGAGGTTAGGGACACCTTTTTAATTCGGAAACCTGTGGATTCTCTCATCCAGCTTGTTTCCCTTTTTCCTTTCGGCGTCTTTGAAATACTACCCTGGTTGCGGATTTTTTTTCTCCCGTCTCCCGTTCTCTCTTTTTTTTTTTTTTTTTTTTTTTTTTTTTTTTTTTTTTTTAATTTGTACTCTTATCTTCTAACTATAGACGTTTGGGCGTGTGTTGCCAAATAGGGAACATCATAATTAATATCAGGTTACTTGAGAAATTTCCACACTTACAATTTTTGGCTTGGGGCTATTTGCTATACATTCTGAGAGGAAGGACTCATATATGTCCGTGAATCACTCACTATGTTTGAAAAACCTGATATGATAATGATTGGCTATGCTTGCCTTCGGAATAACTTTGTGTAGTTGAGCATTGGAGCATTTGACGGTGTCTTTTTTGTCTTTTTTTGCCGCGCGCTAATGTAGACAACAAGCAGAGCAGACCTGAAGACACCAATTATAGATTTCTCTTATCCATGCTTACTGAGTAAAGTTAAAGCCCTACCTACCGTCAAATCCCAGAATGACATCCCTTCCTTTCCCCCTGGCTTGCATCTCGCCCTGGAGCACTGCGAAAGTAAGCAGCCAGTCTGGGTTCCCCGACCCAAAAACCCTTAGCAGCCTTGCTCTCATAGGCCTAATTCTTTGAAAATGTTAAAGATATGACGAGGAAATTGTTTTTTTTTTTTTTTTTTTTTTTTTTTTTTTTTTTTTTTTTTTTTTTGTTGCATGTTGATGGGGATGTGTGGCAAAGCTCTCTCCAACATGAGCCTGAACAATTCTCCCGGTCACATTTATCCATTTTTATATCAGTCCACGACGTCAGAGACTAAGTTTACCTACCCCAGCAAACCGATCGAAAGTAAGCAGTAGTTAGTAGCCACGGTTGATCGAATTGGTGCCTCCCCCCACGGCCTGCCTAACTAACCATGCTGTCTGTCATTCTGGCCAGTTGTCTGAGAATTTTCACACTCGATCTGTTATTTGAGGATACAACTCTAGTGTTCACACAGGAGGAGCGAGCACAAAAAAAAAAAAAAAAAAAAAAAAAAAGTTCGTGAACAGGCCGTAGGAGCTGAGCTCTCTCTATCGGATTCCTGATGAGTTTAATTTCCCCAGCTGAAATAGAGTGGACAATTATCAATTCTCATTCCGAGCTGTTGTTTTTGTTGCTGCTGCTGTTGTCGCCGGTGGGTCAAGACTCAAAGGTGCAGTAACTAGTTAACTAGAGCAAATGGCCTGCACAAGCGGAGAAATTCACATTTGCCGTGTGGACCAATTCTTGCATAATTCACCAGACAAGCTGCCTTGGTTGTTCCTAGTTCCCTCGGGCCGGCGACGCGGGGGTCCGGGGATGGCGCGAATGTCAAATGAACATCGAGCGACAGACGAGGGGGTGATGATGCCTTCAAGGATCAAATCAAGTGGGAGATCTCCAAGCCCGTGAAACAAAGCTCGTGTGGTGGCTGCAAGACTCACTTTTTTGCCGCAACCTCATTCGTACTATCTATCACCCAATGTTCCCACACAGAGAGCAAGGATGAGCTGGCTTTGTGGATTGCTTCTTATTAAACTACACCGAGTACGGAGTACATAACTAACTACCAAGCGACTCCTCGCCTCTTCTTCTTCTAAATTCCCGACTGTCTCTCTCTGTCTTAGCTTCTGCTGGACAAACATAGGAGCGGAACCGGGCCCTTTCAATCCTCCTCTCCTAGTTGCTGTCTAGCCTTAATCTCTACGCCAATCGAGTCGCCATGTCCTCCATAATAGATTCCTCTGCCATATTCTCTGTGGCCCAAAAACTGCTCGCGACTGCGAAGCCATGGGCCACCATCCCCTTCTTGGGCCCTGCGGTCTATCTGATTACAGTGGCGCTACTCCGCAACAGAAGGATAAAGAAGAACGTAAAGAAATTCAACTACACGACTCGACAGTCGATGGCCCGGATGAGTGATGATGACGCATGGAACATTCTCCTAGACGCTGGCCAGATGGAGTTCCCCTTCACTTATCTTAAGGCGCTGCAATTCGCTTTATTTAGGGTACGTTCGATTTCCTCAACCTTTTATCACGCTCGAATGCCCTCTTCTACACGTCCTATAAAAACCGCTTAACTAACTGGTAAACTTGATATCTACCACGTCTGTGGCATAGACCTATGGAATCCCCACCATCTCCAAAACCCTGGTGCAAACCGGCCAATTTGCCAAACCTGAATTCTCGATGAAACGGTATGCGGATACATCTGTGCTGATTGCAGAGTTCGTGGGCAACCCCCCTTCTTCAGAACGTGGTAAAGCGGCAATCGCCCGCATGAACTACCTCCACCACGGGTATAGAATGTCCGGGAAAATCCTCGATGACGACATGCTCTATACTCTAAGTCTGTTCGCACTAGAGCCAATTCGCTGGATCAACAGGTACGAGTGGCGCCAGGCTTCTGATCTCGAAGTGTGTGCTATTGGCACCTTCTGGAAGAGCGTAGGAGATGCTATGGAAATTAGTTTCGAGAATCTACCATCGTCCAAAACAGGGTTCAAGGATGGTATCCAATTTTGGGAAGAACTCAGAGTGTGGAGCGAGGGTTACGAGGAGAGAGCTATGATTCCCAGTGACTGGAACAAGAAGAATGCCGACCAGACTGTCGCAGTTCTCCTGTGGGATTATCCTGCTTTAATGAGACCTCTGGCTCGGAATATGGTGGTTTATATGATGGATGACCGCCTGCGGGAGGCGATGCTGTAAGCGTCTTCCTTTTATCTTATTTTCTAACCCGCAATAATCCCTACGAACGAACAACTAACTCCCACGCGATATGCAGGTACGAGAAGCCGCATGCCCTATACAAAATTGCCTTTGCTGCAGCTTTCAAGCTTCGAAAATGGTTTCTCCGTTACCTCTCCCTTCCCCGTCCGGAGTTCATGCGGTTCCACCGCATCGCTCCAGGCACCAGTTCAGAAGCTCGTTATTGTTTACGCAACTGGGAAGGAGCACCATTCTACATCGAACCAACCTTCATGAATCGGTGGGGACTTCGTGCATGGTACACATGGCTTCGGGGGATGCCACTTCCGGGTGACAACCCCGAACATTGCCCGAACGGATATTATCTCCCTGACGTCGGGCCAAAGAAATTCGAGGGCAAGGGGCATGACCAGGTCAAGAAGACAATGGAGCGGTTACATACAGAGCGAACCGGCCAGTGTCCATTCCTTTTCAAATAAATAGACTTACCTTGAAATTGCGGTTTGACTTGGAAGTATGAGATACCCTGACCCTTTCAACTTGCCGTGGGATTTTACAAATGAAGGATGCAGGGGAACAAAGATGAGAGGCCGCTAGGCTGAAAAGATTTCTCGTAGATCGACTTATGCGGTTACCAGAACCATTTCCTCCTGAATTACATATGTCTTTTTTTTCTTTCTCTCTCTAGTGGGTCAACTGAACTTCTACACGAACTACGCAGTACATGCAAGAAGCTTCCTCAAGGGGTTCGGCGGGAACTTCAACATTATACGCAGCTAGACAAAGATAATATAGCTATCTCTATAACAAATGCCCGCTGTGGAATAATGTCCTGATTGTTTTCTTCCATCTTGATGTTTGTGCAGGTGGGTGTGCTAGCTTTAAGGTTTCTCAATCCAGCTCCCAATTAGGCCTAGGGCGATCGGATAAGCTTAAGTTGACCGCACCAGCAACTACCCGGGGCTAGCCGCACACATCCATGTTTAGCCTGTCCCCGCCGCAAGTTCGCGGTTGCGTGATGTCAGCGCTGGTGCAAAATATGCCGCGTAGCTCTTATATACACAGTTACATATGTCATTTGTGATGGAAAATTGGACCGCCTCAAGGGATCCTTGTATGGCCTTATATAATAGCCGCAAAAGCTGCATCTTCCCCTCATCTTCCCACTCCCCCTGTTCTTCGTTGAAGCATGCTCCTGTCAATTGCGCATAGGACATATACCTTCGCAAATCTCGCTCGAAGCGGCGGAAGGATCACATTCCTCAACAGCCGCTATACAAAGGGACGAAAACCGCCTATATTCTTACCATATATTACTAGAGGAAACATGGCCACTTTAGCGACCTTCAAGCCGCCCGCGGTGCAAAATGAGCCAACTGTGAGTCCTTCATGCTCTTTAGGATCTTTGTTTGTTCGGATGGAAGGATGCTGAGGGGGGGGAGGTGAACGGCCAATCTTCGGATGCGGATCATGGAAATAACTATCTAACTGCTTGCCCTCCACCGAGGTGGGGAAACCTCCAACGAACAGCTAAACTACGCCAGAGGCTCACCGGAGCGGGAGAAGCTTGCGAGTGCAATTGCTGCGTTCAAGAAACAGGCTCCTTTACAGATTCCCCTTGTTATTAATGGGGAGGACGTACGTAACCTACATTTCTTTCTTTCTTTCTTTTTTTTCTTTTTTTTCTTTTTTTTTTTTTCTTTTTCTTTTTCTTTTTTTTTTTTTTTGCCCATATTTTGCCCTTAAACCACAATCTGCCGTCAGCAGCGCAAAGTAGAAATAACAATCGATAAAAGCAATCGAACAACTAATCATTCCCTCTCATTCCTCTTCACAGGTAACAACGGCCTCCGAAGTGCAAACTCAACTCAACCCGTCCGCCTACAAGACCACTCCTGTCGCCAGGTTCCAAGCGGCTGGCCCACAGGAAGTCAACTTGGCCATAGACACAGCGTTAGCTGCGAAGAAGGCTTGGGAGACATTGCCCTTTGCCGACCGAGCGGCGGTCTTCTTGAAAGCTGCTCATCTCGTGAGTACCAAGTATCGGTATGAGCTGATGGCGGCAACGATGGTGGGCCAGGGGAAGAATGCGTGGCAGGCCGAGATTGATGCTGCGGCTGAGTTGTGTGACTTCTTGAGGTCAGTTTGTATCCTTGGTCGGTCGTTTATAGATTTTATCTCGTTTGGGTTACGGGATGGGATGCTGACATGTGGGTAATTATGAATAGGTTCAATGTCCAGTATGCTGCTGAGATATACACACAGCAGCCGGTCCATAATGCTCCCGGGGTTTGGAAGTCAGTCCTCCTCCTTCTTAACATCTGTTCCCCTTTCAGACCGAATTACTCGAGCAAAGTCGAGTTTCTTTTCCCTAAACAAACAACTAACATCCCCTCTTCCACCACCAAGCCGATTGGAATATCGCCCCCTTGAAGGCTTCGTCTACGCCGTCTCGCCATTCAACTTCACCGCTATCGGAGGCAACCTCCCCGCTGCCCCTGCGCTCATGGGAAACGTAGTGGTCTGGAAACCATCCCCATTCGCCGTCGCAGCAAATTACCTAACCTACAGTATCCTCGTCGAAGCCGGACTCCCGCGCGGGGTCATCCAATTCGTCACCGGCGACGCAGAACAAATCACAAAAACGGTCCTCGACCACCCCCACTTCGCCGCCTTGCATTACACAGGCAGCACAGCAGTCTTCCGCTCTCTCTACGGCAAAATCGCTCAGGGCGTGGCAGACGGCAAATACATCAGCTACCCGCGCATCGTCGGTGAGACAGGCGGGAAGAACTTCCACCTCATCCACCGCAGCGCCGATATCCCCAATGCAGTGAAGAACACCGTGCGCGCCGCCTTTGAGTTCCAGGGCCAGAAATGCAGCGCCTGCTCGCGCGCCTACGTGCCCTCAAGCATCTGGCCTGAATTCCGCGGCCAGCTCGTCGCGGAGACCAAGGCGCTGAAAATCGGGGATCCGGAGGATTTCTCCAACTTCATGGGCCCTGTGATCCATGCGGCGGCATTTAAGAAGCTCTCGTCCGCCATCGATGAGGCGAATAAGGATTCCCGCCTCGAGTTGCTGGCTGGCGGCAGCTATAGCGATGAGACGGGCTACTTCATCCACCCGACCGTCTACGCGACGACCGATGCGACGCATCCGATTCTCAGTACGGAGTACTTCGGCCCCATCTTGGCCGTCCTTGTGTACGATGATGGTGCTGACGGGGCAGGAGGATCAAGCGCGTTTGAATCCATTTGTAAAACCATCGATGCGACTAGCCCGTACGCGCTGACGGGGGCGATATTTGCGCAAGACCGCGCGGCGGTGTCGTATGCGGAAGACGCGCTGCGGAGCGCTGCGGGGAACTTTTATATCAATGTTAAGTGTACGGGGGCTGTGGTGGGCCAGCAGCCGTTCGGGGGCGCGAGGGCGTCCGGTACGAATGACAAGGCGGGGAGTATTGGGTTGTTGAATCGGTTTGTGAGTGTTAGGGCGTTGAAGGAGGAGTTTGAGGGGCTGCAGAAGGTGAAGTATGTTAGTAACGAGTAAGAAGGGGGGTTGGCGATGGGTCGACGGGTAAGACCTGAGGGGCAACTGCCTGTTTCGCCCGTTTCCATTTTCGAATCTGATCTGGCGCATTGTTGGGTGTGGGGGGGGGGGTTATGGTGGAGGGAGGTTATGATTGAAGTTAGTTGGCAACATGTACGTTATCACTAAATAACGTATTCGAATAGGTAAATATTCTAGGTGGTTATGAGAAGAAAATGAGCAGCGATAGTAGAGCAATGATTCTTTCATCTCGCTAAAACAATCCCAATAAATATCACCAATCATCACCTCGACGAAATATCAAGTATATAAATGTATATAACCACCCACCCTCTTTCATACTATCACAGAGAAAATCAAAGCTACCCCCTTAAAAGCAATTCACACACAGCCTTCACACATACTTTTTTACCCTTCAGCTCTGAGGATGTAGTCCTCTTTACTTCACGTAAGGAGGGCAGGGGGTACTAAAGCCCCTTAGCTTTAGCGATTGCCCACAAATCAAGAATCGAACTTCCCAAGCTGAGAGCCATGTAAGACAACAGTGTTGAAAGGACAGAGCCTACTGCGTATACTGCGTATACCAATATACACATGGCCGATTGATTATATGATTGCAAGTTATCCCCTTAGGGTAATTCTTTCCCCGATCTGTCGATGTTTGTCTGCCTTGACTGGTTCGTTCCTGGCGAGCCAACGTTTTGGGGCGAGGTTCCAGGACACCGCTAGTCCCAAACAGACCACACTAGCGCTGCTATAGGACTAGTAGCAAGCTGGCACAACAACGCTAGGCCGAGTTGGGACGGGACTTGTAAACATCTAGCCGAGCGCGGACTAGCGCGACAACACAACAGCAGCACGGTCCCCCCGGCGCTTCTCAGCCTCTGCTGTTTGTTTCTCCTCGTCCCTTGTTTCTTCTCTTCTTCTTCCTCCTCCTCTTCCTCTTCTGCTCACCGCCCCCAGTTCAACCTCCTCCTCCTCCTCCTCCTCCACCACCACCACCACCACCACCATCATCACCTTTTTGTGATACCCGTCTCCTTGCTTGCTTTCTGCTCGACTTCATCACTCCTCACTCCTCCATCACTACTCCCACAGCCCACCATGCGTGAAATCGTACGTTTTTGACCCCCATTTTGACGCGTCGTTCGAATGAACCGTTGTCATCTTACCCTTGTCCATGCCCATCGCCCCCCTCCCCCCCCAACTGCATCCCCCTTTTCTTGATGTCCAATTCTGCATCAAACCACATCCACCTGCCCCCAACAGGCCTTCTTAGAATCACATAACGGTAGAATGTGCGAACTTGACTGCTAACGTGTTTGTTGTTTGATTTTTTGTTTTGTTTTGTTTTTATCTAGGTTCACCTCCAAACCGGCCAATGCGTATGTCGACTCAAACCCATCCCCAAATAACATCCACCCTCCTCTTGGTTTGCGTGATATTGTTACTTGGGAGAGCATCTGTTGTCTAACTGTTGGAGCCTGCTGCTGAAATAGGGTAACCAAATTGGTGCTGCTTTCTGGTATGTCAAAAGTTCCTTCCCCTCCCCGCTGCCATCTCAGATATGACAAAACACATTGCGTGTTGTTGCTCTGTTTACATATTTTTATACTGACAACTCTCTTCTCCTTATAAATAGGCAAAATATCTCTGGCGAGCATGGCCTCGACGGCGCCGGCTAGTAAGTTTTACAGTCAAGAATACATATATAATTATGAAAAATCTCGATTCCTAACTCGATAAATAGCTACAACGGGTCCTCCGATATCCAGCTTGAACGCATGAACGTCTACTTCAATGAGGTGGGAGAACGCTTCCCACCCTTCGAGAGCAGCTATCAGTCTACTAATAGGAATATCCCCCGTAGCTACCGAAAAGAAATATGTCCCCCGCGCCGTCCTCGTCGACCTCGAGCCCGGCACCATGGATGCCGTCCGTGCCAGTCCCTTTGGCCAGCTTTTCCGCCCAGACAACTTCGTTTTCGGCCAGTCCGGTGCTGGAAACAACTGGGCCAAGGGTCATTACACCGAGGGTGCTGAGCTGGGTCGACCAAGTCATCGGCGTCCTCCCGCCGTGAGGCTGAAAGGCTGTGACTGCCTCCCAGGGCTTCCAGATCACTCACTCCCTTGGTGGTGGTACCGGCGCCGGCATGGGTACCTTGCTGATTTCCAAGATCCGGGAGGAATTCCCAGACCGTATGATGGCCACTTTCTCGGTCGTTCCTTCGCCAAAGGTTTCCGACACCGTTGTCGAGCCTTACAATGCCACCCTCTCCATCCATCAGCTCGTTGAGCACTCCGACGAGACCTTCTGTATCGATAACGAGGTATAGTTTCGATATTCATTTTCGTATATCTTTTGCGGCCAATTTTATATTTAGTTACGAATTTTTCTAATTTGGATATTATCACAGGCTCTGTATGATATCTGCATGCGGACTCTCAAACTCTCTGAGCCATCTTACGGTGACCTCAACCATCTCGTGTCCGCCGTCATGTCTGGTGTGACCACCTGCCTGCGATTCCCTGGCCAACTTAACTCTGACCTTCGGAAACTCGCTGTCAACATGGTTCCATTCCCTCGTCTCCATTTCTTCATGGTCGGATTCGCCCCTCTTACTAGCCGTGGAGCATACTCCTTCCGTGCTGTCACCGTCCCTGAATTGACCCAGCAGATGTACGACCCTAAGAACATGATGGCTGCTTCTGACTTCCGTAACGGCCGTTACCTCACCTGCTCTGCTATCTTGTAAGTCTTCTCGAGTCACCTCCCCCACTTATTATTTTCCCCTCTAACCTCTTTTTCTTCCCCTTTTAGCCGTGGTAAGGTTTCCATGAAGGAAGTCGAGGATCAGATGCGCAACGTCCAGAACAAGAACCACACCTACTTCGTCGAGTGGATCCCCAACAACGTGCAGACTGCTCTCTGCTCCATCCCTCCCCGTGGCCTCAAGATGTCCTCTACCTTCGTTGGAAACTCCACCTCCATCCAGGAGCTCTTCAAGCGTGTCGGTGACCAGTTCACTGCTATGTTTAGGCGCAAGGCTTTCTTGCATTGGTACACTGGCGAGGGAATGGATGAGATGGAGTTCACCGAAGCGGAGAGCAACATGAACGATCTCGTTTCTGAGTATCAGCAGTACCAGGATGCTAGCATTTCTGAGGGAGAGGATGAGTAGTAAGTTCTTTTCCCCAACGCTCCATTTTTCTTTCTCTGGGACTTGATCACTATATCATATCTCTATTCACCAATTTGACTAACCAATCTTCTTTCAAACAGCGTTGAGGAAGAGATCCTTGAGGGCGAGGAGTAGAGTTTTCGAGGCAAATAAGCGTATAGTGAAGCGAAGAGCCTAAAGAGGCGTGATTTTTGAGCCTACTTAATCAATTACTTCTATCTTTTAAGGTTTTGTTGTGTTTTTTTTCCTTTTCGTTCATTCTATTAATTTATATTCTGCTCTTCTTTTTTCGGTAGCGATGAATCGAATTTTTTTCCAAGACCATGGACCAAGATAAATACTACGTTCTTTGTGTTAGGTATTCATGAAAACGAGAGAAACCTGACACTTGGTGATGATGCATTGTTTTATGTGAAGAGTAAACTTTGTTCTATGTTGCTCAATGGGAGCAGAGGAGGTGAGACGTAGGAGAGTGAGGTTTTGAGGTTTGAATTGAATGTCTATGCAGCAAACCTTTCGGTTTTTCAAGCTCCGTACACTTTGCTTTTTCTTTTAATGTTTACATTCAGTCTTCTTTTTTTTTTTTTTTCTAAGGATGGCTAGCGGTACGGCACCAGAAAAAGAAAATATAAGAGAGAGCCTACAGTAGTATGCTTGTTTGAGCGCGACTGCTGTTCTTTTTTTTTTTTTTTGGTTGTGTTATCTATCGTACATCTATCTATATGAGAGAGGAGCATGAAAGTCTTCAAAAGATATATATATATATAAAGAGTGAATTAAAAAAAGAAATTGAATGCTTAGTTTATATCTATCCTCAACATTGGTTATGTCAAATTATATTCCAGCCAGAGAATAAATCCTCTGATCTACAATCCATATCACACAGTGATGGAAAATACTGTTCTTGATGGGTAACTAATCATTTGTTATACATCCTAATCCTTAGTCCCAGTCCTAATTCTAAACCTAGTTAATCTCCCCTGACCCCTTCAACGGGAACGAAATCAAATGTTAGAATAGGAATGACGAGCGAGCAGTGATAATTACACATAAGATGATGAGGGCGAAAAAATGGGAGAAAAACAAATTACAAAGAAACAAAGTGCTCTCCCTCACCTGGATAAAGGAGAAGGCGAAAAAAAAAAAAGGGATTCATTCTTCATTCATTCATCTTCAACATTCCCCTTCCCCCTCTTTCCACATAGACATCCAAACACCAAACCATGTCAACATCCCGAAGGATTCGCAAAGAAAGAGAGAAAAAGAACACATCCCATAACCCGTCCTCGACATATTTCAACGAGGAGCAAGGTACCCATTTCTATTCATTCCGTTCTTACCATCTCCAACCGAAGCGGCCCCCTCGGCTCCCCTCAACCCCCACCCTCTAGCCACGACCCAAATTTATCCAGCCGCTCAGCCTCCTCTTCATCAACCTGTTCACTATCTTCTTCCGCCTCAACATTAGCAAGAGTAGTACCGGCGGCTGCTTGCTTCGAGCTCGATTTCTTGAACCGCTCGCTACCGTCGGCGATGTATGCTACCACCCGTGTGCCGGAGAAGAAGCGGCCATCCATTTTCTGTATATAAAGGTGTAAGCGTTGTTGTTAGATTAAATTTGTTCTGACGGTTGATTTTTTTTTTTTTTTTTTTTTTTTTTCTTGGGTTTGGGTGGGAATTATCCAACCCAACGCACCTGAACGCAGATGTTTGCTGATTCGACATCAGAGAACCGGACGCTCGCCACACCCTCTTCCTCTTTATCATACAATACGACATTCGTGACCTCGCCTAGCTTTGAGCATTCTTGTCGAATGTCTTCCTTGATATCTAGGATTGCAGCTGGGTCCTCCTGTAAGGCATTAGACGCGCTTTGAGTCAATATAGGACGGACGTTAAAAGGGCTTTTATTTTCGTTGTGAGAAGATAAAAACGGAACTGATGCTCGTACCTCGAGTTCTTGCAGAGTAAACATATGCTTCAGAATAACCACCCTATCCCATCGAGATGAACTTGGTGGGACCGTCGATGGTTCATCATCGTCCCAGTCGGCAAGTTTACTATAGAGAGGTAGATACCGAAATGTAAGCGAAACGTGAACGTAAACTTGTGCTTGAATACATTACAAAAAGAGTTTTGTTTAAACAGTGTTAAAGAAAGCATAAAGGATACTACGAACCTATTCAACCGTTGAGTTTTCCTCATGATTTTCCTCTTCTCACTCATATTTGGCTTGGCGGGTGCCTCCTTTTGCGCCTTGAATGAGAAATCTGCCGCCTGCACCTTCATCTTGCCCTGGGGGCCTGTTTCTCCAAATCTAAAATCCGTATCATCAAGCATCTGGATGGCAAGGTTTACAGATTCGGGGCGGAAGTATACAATCAGTGCATCTCCCTTGAACTTCCCTTCGTCGTCAGTATATAATTTTATGCGTGGCCGCCGGCGGTCGATTTCCTCGGCGATGACGCCGCATTTGCTGAATACATCGTTCACTTCTTCCAGTGAGGCATCGAGTGGGATTGACGTAACGTAGACGGCGGTGTTTACGCGAGGTCTTTTGGCTTTGGGCGCCTGAGTCTGTTTGTTGGCCTGGACAAGGGTGGTCGTCATTGTATTAGCTTCCGAGTACATACGATCTATTGTGCGAGAGGAAAGGAAATTGAGCGTTATTGACTGACCTCTTCGCCATTGGATAATTCTTCCGTTTCAGTCGTCGTTGCTGCTGTTGTTTGAGATCGGCGGGCTCGTGTTCATCTACGCCTTCAACTTTATACGCCTCTCTCTGTTGTTCTAAGAGGGCATCGTCCACCTATTTACTTCGCCCAACAGACCAAAATAAACAAAAACGGTCAAGCAATTAGAATAGTGTCCTGCATCCAACGGGAATGTAGGATGATATTTGATTTTCCTTGACCCCTGATACCGGAGGCGAAAACAAGTAGAGTAGTGTCCGATGGAAGAAAGCTTGGGTATTGTATATTTTTGCGCCCAAGAGGAGACTTTCCCAGGTACACTATCTGTTTGCCTTCTGTGTCCGCCGGCAACTTATTTTTGGCCTTCCCGATGCTGAGATGCAGCCATCATGGGGGATGGTGGAAATAACCAAAGCAACGGCCCTTGTTGCGCCAACCAGTACAGAGAGGGGAAGAACAAGAGTTTCATGAACTGCCTACCAAGGGAACCCATCTCTTCAGCGCATCATCATACTCCCATTCTGACCCATCCTCCGCTTCCAAGTGGTATTTTTTATCGAGCTTAGAATAGGAAATCCGGTAATCGTCATCGAATTCGTCGGGGGTTTGCGGGAAGCTCGCTCGAGTGGTGGTGCCTTGTTCTGGAGGAATTGGAGGCGCCTCCATGGTTTTTGGTGGTTTGCTGGGTGGAAATATAGAACTGAAATGGAGAGTTGGTCAGAAGAACCGACGGAGAATTAGATATATATATATATGCAAGTGGTCTGATTGCGAGCCGCTGTATGGAGAGATAGTTTAGCAGAAGAATGGTTGGATAGCAAAAGCAAACTATGAGGAAGCTCCGAGGCGAATGCCGCTTTACCGAAATAAGCTTAGTTCCGTTTACATACTGCGTTACATAAGAGCTGACAACAATCAGCCAAAACATGGAGATAAACAACAGAATGGTTGCGGAGCTCACCTTCCCTTCCCTCTCGATTTTTCAGAAAAAGACTATTGTCAATTCAAGTTTGAGACTTTCGGTGCTTCTTTCTCCAATTTGGTGCACTGCTATGCTAACTCAGAGTGTCTCTGGAAGTGGAAGATTATGATAATTATTTGTTCCTTGGCCCCAAAGCACCATTCACTTTTAAACCACGCTGGTAGTCTAGGTTCCCCATAAATCAGTGATGGTTTGGACTTTATCGTCCACTATCTACTCCCCGAGTAGGCTGAAGAGGAGGCAAGAAACCTCCCAGATGATCTATATGTGTTCATGGTGGGTGGTGTACGTCCCGCCAGTATCAAGCAGGATTCAGAATTTCCCGGGCCAATGCTTCTCGACTTTGACAAAGCACTGTTGGTGCAGAAGAGTCTGTTGACCAGCCGGACTATGGCCTTGCTCACCCACGGTGGTTAGATCAAGCTAGCATGTCCGGCCGCTTTATTCGGGTGATGTTCGCGTGATATTCCAGTGACCTCCTGGAATACTACCTGCATCACAGTCTGTGCAGGTGCAAGAGATAAGCACACTGTGAAATAGTTCTAAATGATTAATGAAAATTTGTGCTGAATGCAGGCAGAATAGTTATAAAATGGGGGTTGTCATCATAGTGTCAATTGGGCGTTGTGTGGTTTTCTTCATCTGTTCAAGGTGCCTTATTCAAGATGGAGTGATCTCTTGCTGCATTCAATAACATTTTCATTGATATTGTCACACTCCCGGCCGCGCCAAGGCCCTGTTGCGGTTCCACACGGCCCATCGCTTCCATGCGGATGATTCCATCCATCCCGCAGGCCGTTTGAACCGGTTTCCAACCACCCTATGACATCATTCGGATATATCATAGGAAGATCCGATTGATGGATATGAGAACCCCACTTCTATACAAGGTCAGCAGATTACTCTTCCTTGGCAGTGAGGCACTACTGAGGTATCACTCCAGCTATTCTCACTTATGAAATGAAAGAAGAGTATCTGTTCATTATCTATATAGAATAGCTAGATACTGACTTCTTATTAAAAAAGTCAGTGATTTATTTTTCTTCTACTAAAATATATACAAGAGTTACTATATTTCTTATACAATCTTCTTAGTATACTAAGTATTATATATGTGATATTCTCATAATAACTCTATAGCTTATAAGCTCACTATTTAAGTAAGATAGTTAAGCTTATTTATATAACTTTCTTAATAACTATCTTTATATAACACTGTTAACTAGTCATCACTTTAGTTCTATTATATTATAATTCAAATCACTTAATCTGATTACAAGTTTGAATCAGTTAAACTCTATTAATAGATTAATATAATCTTATATATCTGTACTAAGACTGATCTAATCTTATTCTCTGAGAAAAACTTCATATTATTCTCTAGAGTATGTATATCTCTATCTCAGCAGAAGTCTGAGATTTCTGAACTTACTATATACTTTGATATAGACTCTTTAACTACTCTATCACTACTACAGCCTCTACACATCTATATCTATTATAAAGATAGAGAGATTAAGATCAGAGATTCTCTAAGTTATAAAAGAAACATATTATCTGAATTTCATAGCTTTTGTAAGAGATCTATGTTAAATAGATCAGTATAATATTGATAAGTCTTATATAACAAAGATAAAAATGTTAAAGAAGAAAAGAAAGAGAAAGTGTGAGAATCAGTGATTAAGATAAATATTTATACATGTATGTAATGATGTATACAGTGAAGCTTCAGAGTGAAAGAATATACATATATTCATAGCAGCTGAGAATCAGTGATTGAGAATGATTAAGAATCAGAGTATATATTACACACATTTGTAGCAGCTGAGAATCAGTGATTAGAAATGAAAGAATCTATGAAGTGTAATGAAATAGTCTATATAATTAATCAGGCACAGCTCACTACATTAGTCTTCTTCTTTCAGAAGCAGTTCTTATCAGTCAAGAGCTGCTGTTTTGAATAATACAGAACTTGAAGTTCAGATCAGTTAATCATAGCTGACTCATTTCACAAAATATTATCAGCTGCAGCTGTGAAATCTCTTATTGAGAATATTCTCAATCTCTCACTTAAGCTTATTATCTTCTTCTATGATGTCTGATGACTATCAGTCAGAAGTCAGCTGAGAAGAAAATGAATCAGTGACAGTATAGTGAAACAAGCTTGTATAAAATATATCATGAATCTCTGATAATATGTTAAGACAGTAGTTATAACTATCTAGAACTTCTATCACTTTATATCTGATATAACAGTAATCTAGTGTATGAGATGAATATGTGATTTATATATTCTTAAGATTCAATTATATCAGATCTTCTATCTTATATTATTCAGTGAGATCTTGATAAACATTGATTTAATTCTCTTAATCTTATTTCACAGTTGCTATGAAAATCTCTGCTCAATCACAGATATCTCAGAGCTTTATTACTATATTATCAGTGATCTGAATTGAACTGTAAGAGTTCAGTGTGAACTGTGTAATCTCTAGAAGATTCAACACTTTCATGTGATATTTATATATAAGAAAGAACAGACTTATATCTATTGAAATAACATCTCAACTGTTGATAGTGATCTCTGTATATAGAAGAAGATTATATCAATTATCTTATAAGTAATTACAGAACTTATAAAGATAATTCTTTATAATTTGAATTATCTATTCTGATGTACTATCAGTCTCAGAGTGATAGACAGTTGACAGACAGTGTATAATCTTGAGAACTTAACAGATTCTAGTTCAGAGAGTGCTTATGAATTAACAGCTCTGATCTGATACTATGAATCTCAGTAATTTATACATTTAATAAAATAGACTCTGTAGAAATGCTTCAGTAACTTGTTCAGTATTTATCTTATTACAAGATTTCAATATTATATCTTTGCTCAATTGATTCACAATGATCAGAATATTTCTACAATTCTTACTCTTAGATAGATTAATAGTAAAGTCAATTACTATATCTTATCAGATTCTATCAGAAATATCAAGTGATTTCAGTAGATCTTTTCTACAGTTCTTTTATAAGATAATAGAAGAACAGCAGTTACAGTTTCAGATAAAGTATCTAATACTATTCAATATCTCAGATTAATAGAACTCTCAGAAGATTATTCTATACAGTTATTCATAGTTTGAATAATCAGTTATATATGAATCATGTATCTCTTATATTATCTGAGTATATAAGAGTTTGAAGTAAGAGACTCAGTGTCATTCACAGAATTATAGAGTGTTATTATCATTAATTAAACATTCTGAGATATCAGTTCTTACATATAATTTTGAGAGAAATTAGAATGCTTCTTATTATACTGCTTCAGTAAGTATTTAAAGAAGTTCATTAGTTTGAGCTGCTGTATGCTATAACTCATCTAATATAGATTCAGAAGAAGTTAAGATATCAGTGATAGTTCTAATCAGAGAAGTATATATAGTGCTGTGAGCTATTTCATCTTGATTAACTAGTATCTTCAGATTTAAGAGTCAGTGCTCTCAGTTCATTCAGTAAGTATCTGTTATATTGAATGATATATCTTACTCTTGTTATAAGAGAGTATTTATCATTGAGTTCTGACTGCTAGAATAATAGTGTATTATAAAATGAAAGCAGCTTAAGAACTCAGATCATTATATCTATTATTCTATAAGTTTATAAGTAGTTATAAAGTATTTGAGATTCTTATAATCTGTGATTATCTTAAATTCAGAGATACTTCAGAGTTCAGAGTCTCATTCTTCTAAACAGTGTATAATTATGAGAAATTCTTCTAAACAGTGTATAATTATGAGAAGTTTCTTGTTATAGATCTCATAATTGCATTCAGTGAGACTCAGTTTCTTAGATATGAAAACATATAATTGTAGAATATCTTGATTATTATATTATAATATCACTTCTTCTAATATATAGTTAGAGAAATCAGCTTCAATAACTATCTTATAATCAGAATCAAATATTATCAGCAGAGAAGTATTAATAAACATCTTCTTTATCTATATAAATGCAGCTTCAGTGTCTGCTGATTATTGAAATACTGAGTCTTTCTTAGTAAGATCTGTAAGTGGTCTTACAATATCTGAGAAGTTTTATATAAATCACTGATAGAAGTTAGTAAATCTGATGAAGTTTTGTACATCTTTCACAGTACACAGAGCTTTTCATTCAAGAATGACAGAGACTTTCTCAGAATTCATTTGAATTCTCTTATCAGCTTCTATAATAAAACCCAGATACTTGATACTCTTGACTTTAAAATTATACTTATCAATATCTATCAGTAGTTCTGCTTCTTATAACTGTTATAATATCTTTCACACATATTCTTGATATTCTTTTCTAGATTTATCAGTGAAGATGAGAATATTATCTAGATAAGCAGATACAAACTTATTAAGAAAATCTCAGAGCACTTAGTTGATATACTTCTGAAATATACTGAGAGTATTAGTCAGTTCAAAGAATGTGACTATTCATTCAAAGAGATTATAACATGTTCAGAATACTATAAGTCATTTATCTTCTTCAGTGATATGAATCTTATGAAACACAGTGATAATATCTAGTTTTATAAATTATTAAGCTTGTCTGATTCATGCTAGAATTTCATTGATGAGAGATAAGAGATATCAATCTTTCTTTATTAATCTGTTCAGATCTTGATAGTTCACACAGA